AAGAGGTACTTTCCTCCCTTTCTCACAATATGAGAACTCGTGGGCACTCCATGAAATTGCTGAGCGGTCGGGTTAGAACGGATAAAAGGTAGTACTTCTTCACCCAAATAGTGATTAACACATGGAATTCACTGCCACGGGAAGTGGTGGCGGCTACAAGCATGGACGGCTTCAAAAGGGAATTAGATAAACATATGGAGCAGAGGTCCATCAGTGGATATTAGCCACAAGGTATAGATAGGGGCTCTGGGGCAAGTGATGCTCTGTCTTCTTGGTACTTGGGGGGGTCAACAGTGGGAGGGCTTCTAATGTCCTGGCCCCACTGGTGGACCTTCTGATGGCATCTGGTATTTCTGGCCACTGTGTGACACAGTGTTGGACTGGATGGGCCTTTGGCCTGATCCAACACTGGCGTCTCTTATGTTCTTGTGAAGGATGATATCAAGCTTCCCTCTCACCCCTCCTGGGTTCTTCTTGCCCCAGTTGGGCTCCTCCCCCAGCAACAGGGTCCCCTCAGCAATGGGTTGGACCATCTCCTCTCCTGGTAGTTTATCTCGTCCGTCCGTCCCCTCCTTATATTCTTGGTGCTGGGGGGGGCAACAGTGGGAGGGCTTCCTGGCCCCGCTGGTGGACCTCCTGATGGCCCCTGATATTTTTGGCCACCGTGTGACAGAGTGTTGGACTGGATGGGCCATAGGCCTGATCCAGCACTGGCTTCTCTTATGTTCACACACACCTAAGCAGCAAAGGTCCGAAGGAATTCAAGCGGGTTCCCTTACTTGCTTTTCAGTAGGACGCTGTGTGCCAGGACCGCCCCCAAATCCAGCACATGATTTGCTGCTGCCTTTCCAAGGGTAAGAGGGGAGCTTTTTGTGCTCTTATTACATTCACTACTTTTAAAGGCAGCATACTGCCTTTTTCTTTCCCAAGGACAGAATCAGATGCTGGATCCTAGAACCACTGATATTGTCCCTATGTAGTGTTACCCCCCCCCCTTAAAAACTAGTATTACATTTGGAATCTTTATTTAGACCATTCACGCAGTTATGTACTAAATAAGGAATGGGGATCAAGGAACCAGTTTCTGGTGGCCTTTTAAATGGAATTTGACTTACTTCTGTTTCCACTTGTAATGTTTAAGGTTTCAATCTTTCCTAAAACATGTTCTAAAAGAATACATTCTGAGCTTTTTTCAAGGTTATGGTAGTACAAAAAAACTAATGTATGCGATAGTGAAATGAAATATTAAAAGCAAATATAAGTAAAGTGACTTGTAGTACAGCTAGTAGTTTATATTTAATGTTTGTATGTTTTGTATGTATTAGTCTTAAAATATAGTTTAAATATAATTTAAATAATTTATTCTGAGATTTTTACAAGGTTGTGGAAGTAATCTTCTAAAAAACTAATTTACATGATAGTCAAATGTAGACTCACTCACAAGTAGACTCGTTTACAACTTTAATGCTACTAGCTCGCTTACAACTTTAATGCTACTAGGATTTTTTCCCGCTCACAAGGTAGAATTTCTGCTCACAACACTGTGGAGCTTAGAGGGAACATGGGAGAGAACCCCCAGGGACTTGGCTGTTTGCTGGCTCTTTTTGATTGTAGAGAAGAACTCGACAGTGCTCTCAGAAAACAGGCTTAAGCCCTCAAAAAAAGTCAGTCGTGCACACAGCAACGCATGTCCAGATGAAGAGTGGTCATGTGCAGCCACAAGTGCCTTCTTAATATGATGGCCAAGGCCATGAATCTCACAGACAATTCTGCAGCATGTCTCCCAGCATTTATTTCTTGCTTGAAAAGTTTTATGGCCTCCACCTGAATAAGTTTTGCTAGAGATTTAGAATCCTCAGGGAGCTTATCTAGACATTGGGACAGTTTCTCCCACAAGAAGTGCTGACAGCCTGATAGTTCAAATGCCTGATAGTTCAAAATCCTGAAATTCAGGGCAGCCGAAGAATACATCTTATGACTGTCAGAATCTTGACGCTGACTCTCCCTGTCGGACGGGGAGGAATGTTGGCCCTCTCTCTGGTGCGACTGTATCTCCTCAGTGAGGAGGGAGGACGATGGGGGATGTGTAGATAGAAACTCACAATAATCTTGCTTGATCTTATAGAGGGTTTCGATCTTTCATGACGTTGCCAGTGTTGACACTGGTTTTTGCCACACTTGAGTTGCGAGATCCTCAAGCCCTTGCAAGACTGGAAAGGTCACGATGCCTCTGGATGAGGTGACTCAGAATGTTGTCTTTTGGTTTATTAAATGTTGTTGAGACATCGATGTCTAACGCCTTGGCTATCCTCAACATTTCCTTGCCCTATAGGCAAAGGTCCTCATTAGGAGATATGGGAGTGGGATCCCCAACTCTGTCATCTGGGGAAGGTTCAGACTGCCTCCCAGAACTAAAACAAGACACAGCACTTCCTTCATCACAGGTTCGGAGTCAGGGGACACTGAAGGCACCATAGGAAACTGAGACTCGTATTGACCAAAGTCAATGGCTGTGGTTTGGTTGGGTGGAATGGGTGCTTTAGGTTGAGTATGTTTGGGATAAATTTCAGGCTGTTACTGCAGGAAAGCTGGGGAACCGTGGGACAGTTTTCGTTGATTCCGACTTGGGTGGCAACAGGGAGGACTGATCCTTTCCCTTTACTCTTAGAAATTGGTCTATATGGAGAACACAGGGGCAGTGATATGGTGCGAGGTGGCACAAAAATGACATCTGAATCCAGAGAGGACCTAGATGGGGATGACTATCGCTTTCAATGCTTGGAAGATGAAGCCATCTTTTCTATATGCTTAGTTTTCTTTGCTTTCTTCAAAGGTGGTTCAGAAGAACGGAGGATGAAGGTGAGGCTGGCTGCATCTGTACCAAAGATAGAACCAACGATGTAGGTCGCTTCAGCTGCAGGTGAGACTTCATAGCTGCCAGAATCAAGTGTACTGATGGGGGGTGGAATGGGGCTCCAGAATGGAGGACAAGGCCTTCGCTTGGACTGTTCAGAGGCAAGGGCCTTCTCCCAAAGAGCCGCCTTTAGGCAGAACACCCTGTCAAGAGTGCGCCTTTGGGGTAAACCCCTGGCAAATTTTGCATGTAGCCACATTGTGACTCTCCCAAACACATAAAGCAGAGACGGTGCTTGTCACTGAGGGTAATTTTAATTGCACATTGTGTGCATTTCTTAAATAGTGCTTTGGAAGCCATCAAGAACTCCAACTAAATTTTTCAGTGAAGAAAAGGGGGGGGGTCAGCAAGAGCCACCTCACCACCACAAAGGAGTAAATCCTGCAACAATTCAAACCCCCACAAGATGATCACATTTCAGTCAAGAGAAGAAAACTTCCAGCACAATAGCCAAAACTCGAATTTTGAGAAAATTGCAAATGGAGCAAAGCTAGAGTGATCCTATCCAAATGGCATCAGAAAGGGAACTGAGGGTACGGGGGGCGCCCACCCATGGCTGGCCTGCACAGGCACAGTCCCCAACATGGGGATGCAGTGAAGATGGAAAATGCATTTTTTCACATTAATCAGAACTTCTTATTCCTATTTCCCCTTGTTCATTTTATCTGGGGGAAGCCTGCAGTAAGCCAATACCAGCCACGAATGGCACTGAACGTCACAAAAGAAAAGGGAATATGAACTTGTTCAGCAGTCCTCTAGAAGTTGGGAAAACCCAACACTTCAGCTGTGCTAAGCAATGAGCTTTGCCAGCCATACTGCAGGAAAACAATCCTGCTTCAGGCGTCATTTCCCTCTTCAGCAGGCATAACTACCATTTGCCCTAGCTACTCATTCAATGCTTGTGCCCTCACCAAATTAGCCTCAGAAGCACGTGCCAGAAGCTGATTATATAGCACCCCACCAGACGCCTTCTGCCAGGGCCCTTGTACAAATGTCAACAAACTGCATGCATCACTTGAAGTCTTTTCTATACCAGGTTTCCCTTTGAGGTATACAAGAAATTTTTAACTCTGGAGAGTTGTAGAGTTCTACAAGAATTAATCACAGAGACAGCACTGACCACTGGATTACATAGGCACAGAAGTTAAACCCAGGCTTATCCTGTACCTCAAGGTGAGCCAAACATTTAACTAGCAGTAAAAGAGATCAGCCGTGACACAAGGCTTATTTTGAAACTAGACTAATGCTCTGTACATTGGTCTCTTGTCAAAATCAGTTTGGAAACTCCAGCTGGTGCAGAATGCCACAGCTCTGCTGTTATCTGGAGCTAGACTGAGCATGCATATTGCTCCATTCTGCAGTCACTACACTGGCTGCCCATCGGTTACCAGGCACAATTAAAGGCTATCACATAGAAAGCCCTTCATGGCCTTGGGCCCTCATATCTGTGAGACCATGTCTCCCCCATGCTTTGCTGCGACAGCTTTGCTCATCTGAATAGGGTACCAACCTGCAAATGGGCAAGAACAACTACTGTCCATATACATGCCTTCTCCGTTGTGGCCCCCACCTTGCGGAATTGTCTGCCTGTGGAGGTCAGGAAGGCTCTCATTCTCATGACTTTCCACAAACTATGCAAAACTGAATTATTCCAGAGGGCTTTTCTAAATGGGCAATAGGACAGCATTGTACAAATTATTTACAAAGTTACTTGGAGAAATGATTAGGGACTGTGGCCGGTACCACTCCGTTATCGTTTGCTGTAAGCTGGATCCTACTATGTAATCTTGCATCATTTTTTGTGTCATGTTAACACTTATGCCTTGCTTCAATTCTGTCTTTTAGATTTCTGGTTGTTTCTACAGCTCTCATTGTATTTTACTGTTTATTGAATATCCTGATTGTATTGACTCACTCTGTGTAATCCGCCTTAAGTTCCAGTGAGAAAGGTAGACTATAAATAACATAAATAAAACAAAATTTTGATCAATGCATTTATTGGAGGCATGAACATCAAATTTCCTATCCAGACTTACATTCAAGCTAGGTCTATGAATTATTCACAGGAGACTTTTGTAGCTTAACTCGACAGAATGAACTCCTCTAAAAGCTGGAGTAGACGTTTCAGTATCAAATACCCTTTCACATTTGAACAGATTCTCTCAGTAGCACAGCAGACATGCAAGACAAGAGGCCTACTGCTGCTTGGCGAAGTACTCCTTGCTGTCCTTCACAGTGGGCTTGATAGTGTCACCACCAGGTTGCCAGCCAGCTGGGCACACTACAGGAAAAGCAAAGGGAACATGGTAAAGCAAGTGGAGAAACAGAGGGTTAGAAATCCAGAAACTTCAGCATGTGAGAACAAACCTAGGACAAGGAGACAGGACCTCCCAGAACAGCAAGAGGAATGCATTATGTGTTACATGCTACTTGAATTCAACAGCAATCTACACAGGCGCCTGAACAGAGTATCTCTAGTACTCCAACCCACCATATCAATCTCTTTTCCCAAGTGCAGTGTAAGACTGTATTGGAGTCTCTGGCCAGTACACTTCATAAGACAGAAATTCTTACCTCTATTGGAATGGTTTGTTGTTCCCTATCCTTGTTTAGCTGAATATGAATACATGCATGTTATGTTTATCTGTTAAATAGCAGACATTTGATAGGAACCATTCTGCTTTTTTGTTGGTCTACCAGTCTCTGGCAAGCTAGACTGTAATGCGTAGAGGGATTTTCGGGCAGCAGCCTCTCTGGAACACTTATGTCTTGCTCTTCCTTCAAGGAATTCAGGGTGAAATACATGGCTCTCTGTTCCCTTGTTTTATCCTCACAACCATCTTATGAGGTTGGCTACGCTGAGAGAGTGAGTGGCCCAGGGTCACCTGGTGAGGTCTATGGATGAAACGGGAGATTTGAGCTGCAGTCTCCCAGATCCTAATCACTACAACACACTCGCTGAGTTGGCCAGTGTCATTCAGTGTTCATTATCAGTTTGGCTGACAGACAATGAAAACAAACTGATTCAGGTGGGGGGGGGCTGAGCTGGCAAAGCAAGGTGGTAGGGAACCCAAGAGAAAAAGAGGGGGGGGGGATGAAATTGACCATGGAATGTGGAAGAGACAGGTTCAACGAAATGGCAAGGAAGACAGGAGGTATTGAAAAGGAGGTACCTGTAATAAAGCCTCAGAGTACCCAAGGGTGGTACTGCTACTGCTGGAGGAGAGGAAGAGATGACAAGGTATAGTGGGCAGGAAGACTGGCTAAGAGACTAAGAGGCAATACCCAGAAACAGGGTGGAAGCAACAATAACACAAGAATCAGATGGACAGAAGAATTCCTCAAGTACTACAAGATGCAGAGCCCAGGTTGGCTAGAAGCTCCTGTACCTTACAGAGTGGATAGAAGGGGGAATGCTTTTAACTAGACCTGGCAGAGCTTTCCCTTCTATACAGCTCTTTAGAAGCAAAGGTTCCTTCAGAGCAAAGGCTTCAACATCCTGAGAGAAAATATACATTTGAATTAGCCAGAGCGTAAAAGAAAGACAGATAGACCCAAGGCTGGGTGGTTCTAGGAAGCCCCATCCCTAAATCTTTTATCTATTAAGAGCTAATCATGTGTAGTCATGGATGGCATGTGATCTCCACTTTGCCTTCCCTCCCTTAAAGGCAAAAGCACTTCTGCAGCGGGGAAAAACACAACTGTTATGGAAGCTTTTTTTCCAAGAAGAGAAATCTGGGTCTCATCTCACTCTTCCCAGCATTGTAATCTACAAAAAAGTTCCTCACCACCAGTTTTAGGTTTGTAGTGTATTATTTTGGGTTAAGCCAATTTGTGGTAAAGCCTCTTTTGCCCTAGAAGGTCAAGGTAATGTTGGCTATATGGCCAGGGCAAGAGGGATGTGTTGCTACACACCTCAGATAAAGGGGCTCTGAGTAAGTGGTGCAGCATTCTGTGTGCTCATGTCTTCCCATGGAAGGGGGGGGGGGGGGGGGAGATTAGGCAAAATGTACCACAAACCTAAAATACTATGACTTACAAGTCCACAGCATTCTTTTAGAACCATTCTAGCTGACCATTTCATAGGATCTTTGCACAGGTGGTGCATGTAGCCTGGACTTCATCCGGTTTAGGGACCACAGCTGTTGGATTTTGTTCCCTTTTAATTATAGCCATGTTTGTGTGTTAACTGCTGTCAAGTCGCTTCTGACTTATGGCAACCCTATGAATTAATGACCTCCAAAACATCCAATCGTTAACAGCCTTGCTCGGGTCCTGCAAACTGAGGGCCCTTGTGGCTTCCTTGATTGACTCAATCAACCTCATGTTAGGTCTTCCTCTTTTCCTGCTGCCATCAGCTTTCCCTTGCAGTATTGTATTTTCCAGTGACCCTTGTCTTTTCCTAGTGCAACCAAAGTACAATAGCCTCAGTTTAGTCATTTTAGCTTCCAGGGAGAGTTCAGACTTGATTTGATCTAGAACCCAGTGTGGTGGCTATGAGGTGGGGGAGGGGAAGAGAAGGCTTTGAGGCAACTGCCTTCTGGGTATTCTTCAATACAATCCCCCACTCTGGTCTCTCCTATAGATTCTTTATGCCCCACTACCGACTATCAAATAAAAAGGGGGACACAAGCTTTAAAATAAAGATTGGTAGCATGTAAAGTATATGCTCCCTGATAGTCTCTTATTTGCAAACTTGATAGATTACGGCTGTACTTATATATGAAGTAAATAAGAGACCACTGCTTCTTAGATTTTTGACTTGACAGAAAAGACACAGATGGAGAGGAACAAAGGTTTATTTAACAGACAATAAAGTATATTTTCTAGTTTATTGAAGTTTAATAGCCCATTGATTTAAGGGCTACCTTTGACTCTGTGTCGCAGGCATGCCTATGGAACAAACTAAATGCTACAAGCCTGCCTAAAAGATTGTTAAAGTTAATAATGAATCTTTATTCAGGAAACTCGCTGCATGTTAAAATAAACAATGAGGGGCAGTTATCCAACCCTATATCTAGCCAAAGAGGTGTTTCGTCAAGGATTTGTTCTTGCACCACATCTATTCAATCTGTATCTAAATGACTTTGTTCCAAGTCTTCAAAACATACCCACTCATGCACCGTGTGTGGGAAACCGACCAGTGCATGCCCTTGCTGTATGGCTGATGACCTTGTCTTATTATCGAGAACTCTGATTGGCTTAAAACGTGCCATTAAAGCATTTATTTCCTACTGTAATGAAGAGCTATTGGAGATAAATGAGGATAAGTTCAAAATTATGGTTTTCACAAAATCAACAAGAAGATCAAATAAAAGATGGAAAATTGGAAGGTACGAATTACAACAGGTCAATGAATTCAGATATCTAGGAATTGAAGCCCTGGAGGGGAGGTGTGACTTTTAAGGATAATTGCAACACCACTTATTAATTATAGCCATACTTTCTCAAAATGCCACATACGGGATCCATAACAGCTTGTGGCTTTTAAAAATCATCTCTAGATGTTCATAATGGTATAAGCAAAAAATAAGGGCACCATCTTGGCCCATGGTTAGCTCTAAACAGAAAAAAGCAATATTTCTGAAGACTCCAAGAGCAATGATAAAGCAGGGCTACTTCATACACACCTGACTTTCCCTTACACTGAGACTATAGAGCCCATCTCCCTACCCCAAATTATCGTATTGGAAGGTCCAGCCCCTTACCTTCACCATGCTGGTCTGTGAACTGGAAGGCCTGCACCAGGCGCAGCGTCTCATCTACCGAGCGTCCCACAGGAAGGTCATTTACTGTGATCTGCCGCACAATGCCTTTGTCATCAATTATGAATAGACCCCTGGAGTAAGGGGAAATGACATATAACTAATTCAGTCCTCTTCCAAGAGGACAAGACTATGGCAAACAAGGGGGAACCTTACACAGCACTGAATCTTAAGAGTCTGTGTCTGGACTTTCCACTGCCTTGAGTGAATCCTTCAGCCATCACCATGGGCAAATTTAGACTGTGGAACTTTTGAATATTTGAAGGTATGGACATTGCAAATTAAAGTATTGGGAAGGACTGTGCAAAGATAAAGGGGGAGGCAGACTCAAGTAGGTTCTCCTATAGATGACCAACTGCTTCTAGAATACTCCAGCTCACATGCACCAAGGACAAAATACTGCACCAATTCAATGTTGAATAGCTTCTCTTGGCCATGTTAACACTGTTTGGCTTGGTCATGCTGGTGAAAAAAACAAAGTTAGGCATGAAATCCCTTACAAGATGTAAGTAAACTGTGAGATTTACAGTGCTGCGGACAACTTCTAAACTAGGAGTTTGAATCTGCCAGCTTGCTGTTTTGATGCTGAAAAGTAAAGAGGTTTCACACCTATCAAAATGCTATTGGCTACAACCTATTCCATACATTAGAATTAAACCTTAAGGCTTTCCTACCTGTAGGCGATGCCGCTGTCCTTCTTGAGCACTCCATAGTCCTGGGCAATACTGTGATTAATGTCAGCCACAAGTGGGATACTTGTGGGACCCAAGCCCCCCTCCTTTCTTGGGGTATTGATCCTATTTTTTAAAAAGTCACAGTTAACATCTGTAAGGGTGTGTTTCTATTTTCACCTGTAGCATCCATCCCATTTAATTCCAACTGAATATGCAAACCACAGCTCTGATTCAGCCACGTTTACAATTTGGAAACAGGTAAAACCAAGAATTTTACAATGTATTTCCCTCTTAGCTTTTATTAAATAGCCCATGGAAGACTCCCAGATTGAAGCAGAGATGGCACAGGTGCCAGGCAGTCTTCCCTCACTAGAACTTTAGCCCAAGGCAGACAAATGGCTGTTCTCTTGATCAGTTACAACTTGTTTCTCTACCTCATGGAGGAAAAGGTTATTCTCCGCACTCATTTATAGTGTGGAATGTTAGCTAAGCCCCAACTGCTCTGCATGTGACAAACAAGACAGTTGATCAAGTTCCAACAGGCAGGCTTTGCTAGATAAGATTGGTGGAGAACCTCCACGCCCTTCTACCCGCTGACTCTTGTCTCGTTGCCTCCCAGAGCTAGATCCATGGACACCATTTCTGACTAAGGCACCAACCCCAGTCCTCTGCCTAAGCAGAGCCTAAACTTTCTCAGCTGACCATGCAGGTTTCAGCCATTGGTTGTGTATCCTTGCCAAGTCAGGGTTTTTTTACACAAATTAAGAGAATCCCTGCTTTTCAACAGTAGTTAGGTCGTGTATGTGAGAGGGGGGCGCTAAAAGGGAAAGTCTAGTGGCAAGGTTGTTCAGAAAAGTACTCCTTCCCCCATCCACAGTGTCACATAAGATACACACTTCCCCCCCTAATGGTCTGGGTCGGAGACTTCAATCCAGCTCTAGAGCATAGGATGCTTTATTGGCTATAGGTATAGATGACCAAAGGCCACATAAAAACCAGTACTCTAAATACAGTTAAATAAAATCTACTAGACCAGATAAGCATCCTCTTTGGGATACACAAGTGCTTGCAGTTTGTTCCTGACCCTCATTTTCTTAAACAGTCTTTGGCGTCAGCCTCCAGCATGACGGACACATCTACCAATATTTGAGAGCTGGAAGTCTCACCAAGCCAGGTGGGTGAACTGGGAGTCCACAGAGGCAGCAATAACCTCACAATTGATCTTGCGGAACTCTTCAACTCGATCGCTAAAGGTTGTGATCTCCGTGGGGCAGACAAAGGTGAAATCCAGTGGGTAGAAGAAGAAAACCAAATATTTGCCTGGGTGAAATAGGACATTAATCATAAAAAGTCCCAAGTTCCTTGATCCAGAAGCCAAACCTGCCTAGCTCCTCTTAGGTAGGTATTCTAATTTATGTTGAAGGATATTCTACATGCAGAATATATTGACTACGCCAAATCCATTACCTCATCTGTACACTATCAGAATAGAACATGCACCATTAGACAGTGTAACTCATGGTGATTGGAGACTAGACATTTCTAGTTGACACTTGGAATACTATTGGTAATCATGTGCCCCAAACTCAGAATGCAATAGGGGGAAGAGGAAAACTCTTAAGAACATAAGAGAAGCCATGTTGGATCAGGCTAATGGCCCATCCAGTCCAACACACTGTATCACACAGTGGCCAAAAACCAGGTGCCATCAGGAGGACCACCAGCAGGGCCAGAACTCCAGAAGCCCTCCCACTGTTGCCCCCAAGCACCAAGAATACAGAGCATCACTGCTCAAGACAGTGTTCCATCTATACCTTGTGACTAATAGCCACTGATGGACCTCAGCTCCATATGTTTATTCAATCCCCTCTTGAAGCTGTCTTTGCTTGTAGCCACCACCACTTCTTGTGGCAGTGAATTCCTTGTGTTAATTACTCTTTGGATGAAGAAGTATTACCTCATAGTCGCCCCATACTACAAATGTAGAATTTCCAGAAACATTGAAGCTGGGGTGGGGGGAGGGTGACTGGGTTTGGGAAGGGGGGAATATGTGCAATACTTCCCTATAAAACCTAGATATATTTTGCTGTTTTCACATAGAATTCATCATTTACAATTTAATTACCATACAGAATTGTATTAATTGATATATTTATGGAACCTAAGAATATATATCCCTTTGTTTTATATAAAGAAAACTAACATACCCAATAGCACAGCAAGATCAAGTTACAAGTTGCTGCACCATATCTTGGCACATTTCACTCATTCCAAAAGAAAACTATATTCATAGTCTCTCCCCCCACCCCACCCCCCAGTGCTCTCCCCAAATCTTGCCATTTGTACATCAGAAAAAATGGGGAAAAGACATG